GTTTGTGTCTGTCTGGGGTGACGCAGTAGTTTGTGTCTGTCTGGGGTGACGCTGTAGTTTGTGTCTGTCTGGGGTGACGCAGTAGTTTGTGTCTGTCGGGGGTGACGCTGTAGTTTGTGTCTGTCTGAGGTGACGCTGTAGTTTGTGTCTGTCTGAGGTGACGCTGTAGTTTGTGTCTGTCTAAGGTGAGGCAGTAGTTTGTGTCTGTCTGGGGTGACACAGTAGTTTGTGTCTGTCTGGGGTGACGCAGTGGTTTTTATGTCTGTCTGAGGTTACCCGCGGCGTTGGAGTTGGTTAACACAAGCTTTTAAAGACTGTTTACACTCATGGCCTGCTGAAAAGATCAACAATTCGATTTCGGACTGGGATTCCTGAAGAAAACATTCTTTTGTTTGATTTGAGTTTTCAACTTTTTACGCTGCAGTTGTTTCCACTACGTTTTGGTTTCAGTTCCGTTCACGTCTTACACCATGTTCCAGACAACTGTGCGATTGCCTCCCTTACATACTGAATGTCGAGTTAATGCACTTGCTTCATTCATGTTGTGGACTTGTACGTCGGCATTGTGATACCTCAGTATGTTTACTGTCAAACCCTCTTGTGAAATCGTTCTTGCCTTAATCGATGATGATGTCTTATTCAAGTTATCTGTGTTGTATGATATATTTCGCGGGGCGGTGTGGTAGCGAAGTGGTTAAAACGTTGGCTCATCACGCCGAGGACCCGGGTTCGATTCCCACATGGGTACACTATGTGAAACCCATTACTGTTGCCTCTGCTGTTATATTGCTTGAATATTGCTGAAAGCGGCGTAAAACTAAACTCACTCAGTCATATATTTCGCGAGAGAACGGTTCGTTTGTGCACTAATATTAAGTTTTCCTTACTTGTGCAACATTAAGGTACCCTTGTTGTAACTAACATTTACACTCATTCAACGTTTGCCGGCCTGTTTTACGCCTTAATTTGAACGTGAATGACTGTTGACCTTTGGCAATATGTACGAATATATTCTCTCTCCCTCTACATATGCTGAAACTGGACCATCGGGTTCCGCTTTGCGTTGTGCTTAATCAGTTTCCCGTCTCTGGTCAGCCACTGGGCCATCAATGGGGAACCTTCCAGTTGACGAGATCCAAGGAGCGAGACATACTTGAATTTACGCCTTTAATACCGACGCATAAGCGCCTTAACGCTCAAGAAGTGCCTAGGGCCTCGTATGTAGTCAAGGTGTCATTTGATTGAGTCTCGGTCCACGTTGAGTACACATCGTTACACGGGAAATGTAGGACAACCTAGAAATCCTGGTCTGTTGGCCAACCGACGTGTCTACTCAGTCATTTAGGAGGCTGGTAATTTATCAAACTCTATCATATTCTATTAACCCCACAATAAATATAACATCCTTTCATGACACTTCCTTCACAATGATGATTCCTACAAATATTCAGATCTAAAATTAACCTGTGTATTTCTGAAAAACGAAACTAGCAGTTTTTACATGTCCTCACCCACATTGTTGTGATAAATTCTCGAGACCTATGTAAACGCTGAGTTTCTCCAAAATGTCACTGCCCCCTCTCCTGTAATAGATTCCCGGTCCCTTAGAAATGGTTAATGTTATCAGAGACAATCAGTCGTGATTATCGTATTCCGTCAACTTTTCAAGTTTACTGTTTCATTCTCATCGACTTTAGTGCAAAATGTTAGACGATGTAAAATTAATTTTTCCAAATGCTTTAATCATGTTACCAAATTGTTCAAATTGATTTTGTCTCCCACACAAAAACACAACGAATCTCTCCTTACATTGGTCACGCGATATCACAGGTACAATTGCAACTGTCGACACTGATATTTCCCCTATTTGAAATCAAAGTGATTTGACTATATTGATTTGAGTTGCAGCAATATAAGGTATGTCAGGCATCGGATAGTCAGTATGTACTGACTGATCTGAATAAACCCCCACTCGATCCTACCATCCCAATCGTTCTGATATTTACTAACTATTCATTACAGTGTGGGATGTGTGGCCTATACCGAACGTTATCTAATAAATACCTCTCAGAAAGCACGTTTTCCTTCAGCTGATACTGCTTCAAATTGTAGACTTCAAATACCAACTGATGTTTTGGTTATATCTTTGGCCAGTAATGTGTTAAATGCACACATATGGTCACTGAATTGTCTATATGTTTGTAATGTGTTGATTTTGTGTTCAAACGTACTATTCCAAGTACTTTTACATATTTGAGTGTCACGAACGACTGGATGCTTGACACTGTTGCTCTGACCCCACAAATATATGCATAACCTGATATTGAATGTATACTTTCAGAAGTTCAGAAGAAATGAAAGAAATCATGAACACTTACCGTCAATAAGGTTTAGATTATGCTCATTTCAAAATGGGGGCGGTGGGGTAGCCTAGTGATCAAAGCGTTTGCTCGTCACCTGAAGACCCTGGATCGATTCCCCACAATGTGTGCAGCCCATTTCTGGTGTCCCCCGCCGTGATATTGCTGGAATATTTCTAAAAGCGGCGTAAACCAAACTCACTCACTCACTCATTCATTTTAAAATGTACTTACATAAATAGATTGTTTTCTTCCTCTATATTTCTTATCTACTTTCAAGTTAAATATTTCGTAAAAGTATATAAATAAATTATCTATCAGGGTGTACGCTCCCTTCTCATTTCACGCGTGTTGTATCTTTGAATTCGTAAATGAATATGCTCGCATGCACACACAATTGCGTGACAAAGAGGCCTTAGGCGTCGTAACTCTCTCATGCATATCAGAGGACGGTGATCCTGGCTTCGAATCCTAGCGGGGCGGTGGGGTAGCCTAGTGGTTAAAGCGTTGGCTCGTCACGCCGAAGACCCGGGTTCGAATCCCCACATGGGTACAATGTGTGAAGCCCATTTCTGGTGTCCCCCGACGTGATGTTGCTGGAATATTGCTAAAAGCGGCGTAAAACCAAACTCAGTCAGTCAGTCGAATCCCAGCTTTCATCCTTAGAATGGCCCTTTGTAAGGCAGCTCCACGACTATGGTGGCTCATAAGTATGGAAGCTGATAAGGGCCATCGCATTTTCACCTTAAAATTTGACCACGATCCATACGCAACCGATGGTTTCACAATCTGGCCGAAGTTCATGTACCTTTTTTGTGGAAAACAATTTCGTCAAAAGTAACAGATCTTGTGCACATGCAGTGTAGTATTATATATATATATATATTGCAGGTTTCTGTTTTAAAGACAAAGGGTGCATTTTACGATGTCTTTGTTAAGCTTAACAGTCATGATTTTACTTTATATATGAGACCAGTGAAGATCCGGGTTTGAATTGATCTTCAGCAACCCATGCATATGCTTGTCGTAAGAGTGCGGCGTAAAACTAAACTCACTCACTCACTTTATAAATGACAGTAATATAACGTACTGTCCGCGACTATGTGTCAATCCATGTCCTGCATTTAAATGCTGCTTAAGTGTTCAAGGCCGCCTCCGTGGTGTAGTGGTTAGATCGTTCGCCTGGAGTGCGGAAGGTCGCGGGTTCGATCCTCGGCCGTGTGATACCAGAAATCTGGTCCCAGCCTGGCGCTCGGCATTAATGTGTACAACAAGGACTGGTCGGGTCAGAGACAGTATAATGTTCCTGAGTGGGGTATTGATGCTTAACTGCGGCATGGCATCTCAGTGAGCTAGCACTAATAACAGCTTACGCCTGGGCTAGTACAAGCAGCCACACATACACACGCATGCACGTCGTCATATGAGTGAAATATTCTTAGTAGGACCCCTTTCACCTCACCTCACCTCTCCTTAAGTTTTCAATTAGGTGTTTGAGTGAGCTACCACACATACTAATGACCCAGGTATCCAGGTTTGAAAACTTGGCGGGTGCTGTGTCTACAGCCATTGCTTGTCGATTTTGTGTTGAATGGGCTTTTTGTAAAAAAAATTAACAAAGGCATATACTTTCGAAGTGGTTCAAACCTTTCCTCGAACGACTGAATGCTTGTCGTAGTGGCTCACATGAGTACTATTGTTAGATGAAAACTGCTGAGAGTTTAATGTTATTGCAATCTGCAGTGTTACTTCCGTTACCCTAAGAGCGAATGCGGTAGAAATAATGATTTATATGTCATTTATCTGTCGAGGATGAAATCTCGAAGCTTTACGTTATCGAATGGGCCAGGTGTTCTGCTGTGGTGCCTGGAAATGGCAAAGGAAGGCTTTGATGTAGGTTAGTAGACGCTCTTGTCTCCGGAGAATGGGTATCACCCCAAACACAAATATACATTAAAAACCGAGGCTTAAACATACAAAATTGGTATTTATCTGGTTATCCAAATGAATTTGAAATAGAAATCCTTTTTGAATTGGCCCAGCCAAGCATAGCTTAAGGCAAATCCCATTTTGTGTTAATTAAGGAATACTGATCATGGGACGAAAAAGGAGAGAGTCGGCGACATCTTCAGCGGTAGAGGAGGTTACTATATTTACGAGTAAGACTTTGTGACCCTCAGCTAACAACAACAGACAGGGTTTTAGCCCCACTTCGATATCATAGCCGGCGATGTGAGCTGGGGTTGATCTGGAACTATTTGTGGCGCGCGTACGTCAGGCCAATATTCCGATGACAGTTATAGATGCAGGAATAGTAGACTTCTAGGCCATCCCCAGGAATAGCGTACTATCCCCAGGAATAGCGTTCTATCATCACAGCACGCAGACATCCCTGTTGTCAAGCTATAAGGACTTATTTCTGGAACGATGTAGTGTCATTGTAAGTCTAAGTTAGATCGATGTAATGTAGGTTAAGTCAGTATTGATATCAACAAAAGATAGCTGAGTGAGGTAGAGCTCGTTGAATGCCTTTGCCAAAGAGGGGTAAGAAAGGATACGAATGTGAGACATATTAATAAATCTCCTTTGACACACTCACCTTGTTATGTTGAACATTCCCATGTGTTTTCCTGTTTTCAGGTCTGGGAAGTTGAAAAAATACGACGAAAATACCTACAGAAGAAGACTGATAAGTAAGCCAAACCTTTGTTGATTTCACAAACAACCCCAAACAAAACTTACACCATCTCATAAATATTCAAATAAAAATATTTTCCAAGGGGAAATCTTCTGTTAATTAGACTCCGACTTAGAAAAGTATAGATATGTTTGTCTTGAGCGTAAAATAACAACCGAGATTAAATATATGCCTTTGAGAATGCTCATGACGCAGATCCTTTTATAGCTATGTGTTCTGCCTCCATGGTTATTTGTACCCGTGCTGTTTGTGAGTGTGCACTGTGCTAATTGGATGTTGCAGTGATGATTCCGTGACAAACACGGGCAATTAGCAGCAGTGTAAATGTCACCCAGAGCAAACATACCATAAGCGCTCTATGATGAATCATGACCAATTTGTCTACGGGCAGGTAAAGTATATCGACCGCCTTCAACCCTGTCCTTTACTGTAGTAGCTCAGATAAGATATATTTCCTTGACATAAATTTAGTATATGTTTCCTTGGGTAACGGTTACGGTTGACATGTTTCGTCAGATGAGCTTCATCAGATGAACAGCTGCATATGTTTCCTTGGGTAACATTTACAGTTGACATGTTTCGCTTCATCAGATGAACAGCTGCATATGTTTCCTTGGGTAACATTTACAGTTGACATGTTTCGCTTCATCAGATGAACAGCTGCATATGTTTCCTTGGGTAACATTAACAGTGTTTCATCAGATGAACAGCTGCATATGTTTCCCTTGGGTAACATTTAACAGTTGACATGTTTCGCTTCATCAGATGAACAGCTGCATGTGTTTTCTTTGGGTAACATTTACAGTTGACATGTTTCTGCTTCATCAGATGAACAGCTGCATATGTTTTTGGGTAACATTTACAGTTGACATGTTTCGCTTCATCAGATGAACAGCTGCATATGTTTCCTTGGGTAACATTTACAGTTGACATGTTTCGCTTCATCAGATGAACAGCTGCATATGTTTCCTTGGGTAACATTTACAGTTGACATGTTTCGCTTCATCAGATGAACAGCTGCATATGTTTCCTTGGGTAACGTTTACAGTTGACATGTTTCGCTTCATCAGATGAACAGCTGCATATGTTTCCTTCGTAACGTTTACAGTTGACATGTTTCGCTTCATCAGATGAACAGCTGCATATGTTTCCTTGGGTAACGTTTACAGTTGACATGTTTCGCTTCATCAGATGAACAGCTGCATATGTTTCTTGGGTTTACGTTGACATGTTTCCTTCATCAGATGAACAGCTGCATTCACGTTTCGTTCATCAGATTACACATTACAGCTGCAATGTTTCTTGGGTAACTTACACAAATACACGTTTGCCCGTCAGTAGGTCAGGGGTAACCGCTGCTTATTTTCCCATCGGTGCTCTAACTGCTGCATATTTTGCCCTGGGTCGAGCTAACCGCTGCTTATCTTTCCATGCCTTACGCTAACTGTTGCAGGTGATTCCACATAACCTCCGAAGACATAACTTGTGAATTCCATATTGTTCAACAGAAGAACAGGGAGAATTCACGCAATCTAATTTGGAATAGAACCGAATTGAAGTTCCCACTGTAACATATGTTGCATGTTTCCTCTCAAACACATGTTGAATGTTTGAATAATGTTTGATTTATAAATTCTGTGAACCTATTTTCAAGTTGCCCATTATTACAATTTCTGATCCAAAAAACCATTTATCATTGAACTGACAATCGCCTTTGGCGTCTACTGGGATCGGATCAGTTCCTTGTGATGAAGTGTTCCAGTTTGCTATCAGAGAGCCTTTAGACCCTACCACAGGGATACAGGATAGACACTCCACTCCAGGCCTGTAATCCAGCGCTGACTCGTTTACAGATTAATCAAAGCCACAAAGCCATCACAACGGACTTCAAGAGATGTTTTCAAATCAAACGGGATTATGTTCATTTCACTGCTGTGTTTAAAGAAATTCCATATCGTTGCTCTTAACGAACATTCCATGCCATTTCCCACCACTGTACGTCACAGAGGGGATGGTACTGATTCTAGCCCCAGTTTCACCATGTACAGGTGGACAACAACCGCCAAGAGCCTGTCACAAACAATGTTAGGTTTTCATTATGTCCTCATCCCTGTTTTCTCCTCAACACGCGAACTCCTCCTCATAGGTGTGAACCTAGTAGTGTCAATTAGGTGAGTGACTCTAAACTCTCTGAAAAAATAGATTGGATTCTTTGGCAATTACTGACATGATGGGTGAACACTTTTGTCAAGAAGTTAATCTGTGGTGAAGGCAAGGAGTGTCTTGTCGCTGAATATTCAATGAATTTATGTCATCGTCGTTGATGATTCGCGTTCATTAAGATAATATTTCTGGATACAAAATGCGGCGGTGAATCCTAGCGGTGAGTCAAGGTCCTGGTTCTACAGGTTCAATAGATGTAGCCTAATGCTGGGATATATCTGAAACCGCCATCCACACTGTCACACGATTGGTCATGGGGATATGTTCCAGTTGGCCGTAAGATTCTGCATGAACATAACCTTTCTCATTCTGAAGCATTCAACAAATACGTTTAATGTACCATGTGGGGATTTCGGTTTGGAGGAGACGCAGGTCCCCATCAGCCAGAAAGTATGCTCTCCATACTTATCGTACCTGGACGTTGTGTGTGATATTTATCATTGGATTATCGGGTCCAGATTCGAAAGACCCACCTGAGTTAACTGTAATCTTGCAGTTGCTGATAACATAGTCGGTCAGGGGAGTTTGCTTGAAGCAGAGATTTCTTATAAATATGGAAATGATTTGTCACGTATATGTACAGTGCGACCAGGATATTAGTGGGCTGCTTGTTGGTTAACGTCGCACTCAGCAGTATCCCAGCTATATGGCGGCGGTCTGTAAATAATCGAGTCTGGACCAGACAATCCAGTTATCAACAGCATGAGCATCGATCTACGCAATTGGGATACGATGACGTGTCAACCAAGTCAGCAAGCCCAATATAGTAACTGGCCATACTATCCACCCGTAACACTGTGTGACGCGTTAACAACTTAAATGTTGACGCTCAATTTATCGATAGGTGATTGTGAATTGGAAGGGCCATTCCACATGACCAAACTACGCGCTACAAAGTAGATAATCGTGTTAATATGTCGATTCAGATATATTTCCTTCATTTAAGTTTGGGGCGGTGGGGCGTAGCCTAGTGGTTAAAGCGTCTGCTCGTCACGCGGAAGACCTGGGTTCAATTACCCACATGGGTGCAATGTGTGAAGCCCATTTCTGATGTCTCCCGCCTTGATATTGCTGGAATATTGCTAAAAGCGGCATAAAACCATACTCTCTCACTCAAATGTCACACTTTATTTTAGCTACTATATACAGGAGTTGAGGTTTGATAATTGAAAACATAAGACAGCAATTCCATTTGTCAGTGATATGTTCTCGGTATGAATAATGTTACACTGACCTGACATTGGGCTGGCAGTGGGTGTGAAATACATTTGTCAACAGCATTTGAAGATGGCATGTACTTTGGGGGATATAAATAAGTAACAGCCTTGGCTTGCAAGGATTCATGGATCTTCAAATACGACGGGTATCGTCTCAGTATTAGGTGTCGTCGATTCCCTTGCCCACGCTCTTCCATATTCCCAACCCGTAGTCAATTAAAGACTAACTCGGTAGAAACAAGGTAAGGTGGAATAGAGTTGCCAAGAAGCGCTACGTCTATACTTTGCTGTTTGGATCTGCTGGTTCGTGAACTCGAATCCGATATTGGCCTTCTTTATGGGCCTTGTCTAAGGCGCCAGAATCCGCTATGCTGAGTTGCGGCCCTTGGACATGCCAGAAACCTGTGGTCGTGGAGTCGAATCCCCACTAGGTTTCTCAGCATCATTCCTAGTATGCTCGTTGGTTTCACCGAAGTAATACACGTCTTAGACCCACATTACTTCTGCTGCCGTTAGGGCGGTGGGGTAGCCTAGTGGTTAAGGCGTTCGCTCTTCAAACCGAAGACCCGGGTTTGATTCCCGCATGGGTACAATGTATGAAGCCCATTTCTAGTGTACCCCGCCGTGACATTGCTGGAATATTGCTAAAATCGGCGTGAAACTAAATTCACTCATTCACTGCTGCCGCTAAGCTGACACCACGATGTAGCTGAAATATTGTTCAAGGCGGTGGTGATCCCAACCCCTCACTCACTCAAAGTGGTACAAGAATCGCTTTGTGATTTCTTTCTGCGTAAACGTATTTTGGATGTTGTCTTGAATTCACAACTGTTGAATAATTCCAGGTAACTTGATACGGTAGCGAACACACGCAATAGATTACAACTTCGAGCTTGCTTTTGACATTAACTAGAAAGAGATATCTATCAAATGTATATATAGTGTATATACGGTAGTCTGTAATTTGATTACTCAGTCTCACTGAAAATCTGATCCATTTTCATCATTCGCATGACAAAAACCAAATACAAATGTAGGATATTTTTAGGAAGTGCAATCTTAGATTACGCAATGCCATTGGTCGTAGGTTTGAATAGGCATTCATTACAAAGACAAATGATTTGTCAGAACCACACCTGTGCTTCTCAGACTTCAAAAGTCTACTTTCCTCCCACATTAGGTTGACAAGACGTATAATAAACTAAAACGAATTTAGATTCACTTACTTACATGACATTATGGACATTGCATCTTTCGGTATATTAAGTTTCGTGGCATAAGCTTTACGTGTGAGCAGTACCCTGTTTCTAAGGATCTGGTATGCCTGTGAAATACTCCGTATGTTTGGTTGCAGCTGGGGAAGAACACTGGACTAAAGTTCTGCAGGTAAATGCCAATTCATCCAACTCCAGACACCTCCGATGTCGGGGGTGCTCCCGCTCACCGTCTCCACGCCCTGGGGGTCCCATTCCCAGGCACCCGAGTCCTTCTCCCCAACATAACAGTGCCCGTCCCAACAGTCCTCCCAGGGACCGCAAGAGACGTTCAAAAAGCCTTGGAAGGACGGGTGACGGTTTATTTCACAATCTTACAAATAGGTTCCGTCAATGGATTCAGTCCAAGCGGAAATACGAGATCTCTCCAACAGATTGTATGCAAGCGGATGACAGGTACGTGTGGAACAAGGAGCAGGTGTTTGAGGAAGACGTGACCCTGAGGTCGTACAGATCTAGCTTCCATGAGCAACTTGTGCCTAACAATGAACTCAGTTCCGTCCAGGACAACCAAAAGACAAATACAATATATAGCAAAGGAAAGACTGTGGTTCAAATCACATACTCTGAAGCAAAGTCAGATCATGATACGGATAACCCAGACGATCCCCCTGAAGACGTTCCTCATTTGCTGAAGCCTCCGGATATATCTGGTCGCCAGTTGCTCCGAGCCTCGCGGTATAAACATAGGGAAAAGCAGCTGAACTCGTCTGGCCCCGGGTGTCGACAGCCCCTCACAGGCACCATCAGCTGCCCACCAAAACAAGGCCCGGAACCCAGTGATGTCTCCCCGAGGTTCAGACGTCGATGTGCCACGTGGCCAGTCCAGGGAAGAAAGGTCAACGCTGAGGGTAAGAATGCGGAACTGGGATGGTTAAAGTTAACAGATGTCTTCATTAGCGTCTGTTGTTTGTAAGTTACCGAGTGATTTTCCAATAGAATCATTCTGGCATCCCTGATTTGTTTTCAACAACTATCTGTGTATTGTTTCCAATTGGCATCAGTCATTCTCCTTTCGGGTTGAATCGTGGGCGAGTCTCTGTTGCCGATTATTGGTATGTTATAACCAGACCATGTCTTACAGGATGACGCTTCGTTATGTAATGATGAACGCAGTGAAGATGACCACCACGATATTTGAAAAACATCAAATCATTCACTTATAATGTACAGCAGAGGAAATGACTGCATAACGATTTAGACATCATGTTACGTCTACTTCTGACCAGTATAAATTGTGGTGATTCTTTTATATTCAGATGCTGACAATGAAGACCTGGCAGTTTCTTTCGTACACGACAGAGAGAGGTAGGGTCTTTGATATAAGTTCGTTAATGTATGCGTCTCGTGAAGTCACTTGAGAGGACTACTTCCGTGGTCTTGCTGGTAGAGCGTCTGCCCGGAGAGCGAAAGGTCAGTGTTTCGAACCTCGGCGGCGTCATACCAAAGTCATTATATATGACACGCGTTGTTATCCTGCCTGGCGCTCAGTATTAAGGGAATAAAGCATGAAGTGGTGATCTCGGTGTGTGCGTGTGCGCGCGTGCGTGTGTGTGTGTGCTTAACTGCTTGACCTAGAACTAAAAAGGCCATTACTACGCTAATATTTTGGCAAAAATGTGTGTTCCTATATTTCAGGAGTGTTCTTGATGGGAAGATGTCGATTGAAGATTTCAGTATTCCATACGAAGACGTCAGCGTCACTGACTGTGAGCGGGTTGGAAGGAGGTGCACCATCCACAGGTGAGAGATGGTCTGTCTCCATACTAGGAGAATGTTCCATGTATGTTGCTCTAAGGTGCGCTGTGCCAGTGTGTGTGAGGTCATAGTTGATGTATATGATTACTGAGAGTGTGGCGTTGCATAATGGTGATGTAGGATTATCTGTCACTAATCTCAGCCAAGTACTGGTGATGTAAGACTGTCTGTCACTAATCTCAGCCAAGTACTGGTGATGTAGGACTGTCTGTCACTAATCTCAGCCAAGTACTGGTGATGTAGGCACTAATCTCAGCCACTGTCTGTCACTAATCTCAGCCAAGTACTGGTGATGTAGGACTGTCTGTCACTAATCTCAGCCAAGTACTGGTGATGTAGGACTGTCTGTCACTAATCTCAGCCAAGTACTGGTGATGTAGGACTGTCTGTCACTAATCTCAGCCAAGTACTGGTGATGTAGGACTGTCTGTCACTAATCTCAGCCAAGTACTGGTGATGCCACTGTACTAATCTCAGCCAAATGGTGATGTAGGACTGTCTGTCACTAATCTCAGCCAAGTACTGGTGATGTAGGACTGTCTGTCACTAATCTCAGCCAAGTACTGGTGATGTAGGACTGTCTGTCACTAATCTCAGCCAAGTACTGGTGATGTAGGACTGTCTGTCACTAATCTCAGCCAAGTACTGGTGATGTAGGACTGTCTGTCACTAATCTCAGATGTGATGTAGGACTGTCTGTCACTAATCTCAGCCAAGTACTGGTGATGTAGGACTGACTAATCTCAGCCAAGTACTGGTGATGTAGGACTGTCTGTCACTAATCTCAGCCAAGTACTGGTGATGTAGGACTGTCTGTCACTAATCTCAGCCAAGTACTGGTGATGTAGGACTGTCTGTCACTAATCTCAGCCAAAGTACTGGTGAAGTACTGCCAAGTACTGATGTAGGACTGTCTGTCTAATCTCACTGGTGATGTAGGACTGTCTGTCACCAATCTCAGCCAAGTAATGTCTGTCACTAATCAGCCAAGTACTGGTGATGTAGGACTGTCTGTCACTCTCTGTCACTCAATCTCAGCCAAGTACTGGTGATGTAGGACTGTCTGTCACTAATCTCAGCCAAGTACTGGTGATGTAGGACTGTCTGTCACTAATCTCAGCCAAGTACTGGTGATGTAGGACTGTCTGTCACTAATCTCAGCCAAGTACTGGTGATGTAGGACTGTCTGTCACTAATCTCAGCCAAGTACTGGTGATGTAGGACTGTCTGTCACTAATCTCAGCCAAGTACTGGTGATGAAGGACTGTCTGTCACTAATCTCAGCCAAGTACTGGTGATGTAGGACTGTCTTAGGACTGTCTGTCACTTATCTCAGCCAAGTACTGGTGATGTAGGATTGTCTGTCACTAATCTCAGCCAAGTACTGGTGATGTAGGACTGTCTTAGGACTGTCTGTCACTAATCTCAGCCAAGTACTGGTGATGTAGGACTGTCTGTCACTAATCTCAGCCAAGTACTGGTGATGTAGGACTGTCTGTCACTAATCTCAGCCAAGTACTGGTGATGAAGGACTGTCTGTCACTAATCTCAGCCAAGTACTGGTGATGTAGGACTGTCTTAGGACTGTCTGTCACTAATCTCAGCCAAGTACTGGTGATGTAGGACTGTCTGTCACTAATCTCAGCCAAGTACTGGTGATGTAGGACTGTCTGTCACTAATCTCAGCCAAGTACTGTCTGGTGCGGTAAAGGCCTGTTTAGTGTACGCACCAAATCACGACGGGGGGAAAACTAAAGAGTCAGCAAACACATTTGGAAAAAGGTGTCTGGCAAGTTGTAGGTTTGGTCTGTTGTTGTTTAACGCCGCAGTCAGCAGGATGGTCTGTACATAATCTGGTCTGCACCAGACAATCCAGTGATGAACAGCATAAACATAGGTCTACGCAATTTGGATACGATGACATGTGTCAACCAAGCCAGCCACCAAATCCCGTTAGTTGCCTCTTTCGACAGGCATTGGTTGCTGCCAACCAATTCTAACCGGGTTCTTCACGGGTGGCAAGTTGTAGGAATGTTTGTGGCTAAGAAATTATGAAGGATCTAATGGTAAATGGTTTCTTTTGTGCGTTATCGAATTTTGTTAAAACGGAAGCTGTTCTAGACAGTGACGTATTACACAAATTTACACAGTTGCAGTTTTCGATGCAATTCCATGCACGATTACAACAGGTCCCCACCACTATGGTTCCTTTAATAACGGGTGACTACATTTTCTCTGGCAGTGAAGCTCCGTCCATATGTTGACCGCGTGTTATCATGAAATATTGCTTGAACATTTGCCACACCACAACTGGTTTGTATTTTGACAGGATGTCGTGGTAGAGATGTCTGCAGAACTCACGCGTTAAATAGTAAACAAACAAACAAACAAACAAACGAAGTGTGTTCTTTGCAGGGGACGTTGGCATGGTGAAGTGACAATCCATCTCTTCCGTGACAAGAAAGGTGATGAAACTGACGTCTTCTGGTCCGATCTGACGAAGCTGTGTCGAATACGTCACGAAAACATCAACCTGTTCATGGGGGCATGTACTGTACCACCAAACAGGGCTGTCATCACCAGGTGAGAGACCAGTACATGCACAAACCCCTGTCAACAACACATCCACCTCTTCATTAAGATAGGAAATCTAGAAATGTGAAGTAAATGCCAAGTCGGAGCACAATGTTTTCACAACAAACATATTTTATGCATGTAACCATCGTAACTTATCATATAGCTTGGACAGGCTATTCGCAGAAGTGACTCACGTGTTGACACTTTCGGGATAGTCGGTTAATCTCTGTCGGTCATTCAAACAGATGGTTGTGGCAATGGTATTGATCCTGTTAACATACAGTTTGTGATTTACCTCATTTCGTCCATTGTCCGTGTTATGAACCAGCGATGGTCTATTGGCATGCTGGAAACTGGAAGAAGCAAACGTGCAGTGGCCAATACTTCAGTGTTTCATGTAACAGGCAGGAACAGGTGCCAACAAGCCCAAATTGTTGGCGATCAATCTCGTTCAGGGCGTCCCAGGTCAAAGGCAAGAGTTGGGGATTGATCCGAAACCAGGCTCCACTGAACCAGGCTCCACTAAACCGATCTTAAACTTTCTCAAGTGCGATGACCATTGGCAACTTTGAGATTTCGCATTTCCCGCCTATCGTTACTGAAGATTGTTGGTTGTCATCACATCTACTGTCACTCTTCACCAACGATTGTGATGCATTCCCAATTCCTTCATTATTATGGAACAGCTATTACAAGAAACTATATCGCTTGCAGTTTTGGACATTTCCGTGTATCCCGATGTTCAGTGACGAATTTAGGCGACTGTTGTGAAAAAATAAAATCCTTTCCACATCCATAACAAGCCTCAGCTTGAAGCAGAGTCTATTGTGCAATTCCGACTATACCCTGAGCAAGTGTTCATGAGTGAGTATAAACATACTGATGACACCAGGTGTCCGCAGAATGATGAGCATGTCCTATTCCACCGATTACATCCGTCATAAACATATACAAAAGCTAGTCAATTGTTGTTTAAGAGTGAATGGGCAAACGCTATTTATGTTGACGGGTAGTTTTCAGTTTCAATAGCACCGAGATAAATTCTACACTGATTTGTCCCAGAGCGATAACAATACTTACACAGACATAAATTGTTTATGTTGAGTCGTAATGTAAAAATATGATTTTAATAAGTTATATTTGGTGGTTTGTGGTGAAAAAGACATTGAAGAATACATTTCAAGGTCTTTTGGTCATATCTAAGCCTTATCATTATACCTATAGGTCTTTGTGTCACCCAAGGGTAAAAACATTTAAACATTCTATTTTTAACACAAAAAGGGCCCCAACTCCGAAATGTGAATTTTATATCTTTCTGAAATAATAGTCAACAATCTTGAGATATATTCACTCGGTTGTCAAACATTTATGTACTTATGTACAGAAATATAGAAGTTGTGACTATTCTATCAAGCACAACTGGTCTTATAGGTTAGCAAAAGGTTGCATAGGGTAGCCATGTTTGTACGTGCACTATGGATTTAGCTCAAGTGGGAGTTTAGGGGACTTTTAGTATGTTATGTAGGAAGGTTTGTAGAACATATCTGCCAAGGTTAATTTCTTCTTCATTTTCCCCCGACCTTTTTGCTAATTTGACTGGCCTACAAGTGTTCTCTGTTTGGAAGCTGTTTGTGTGGAAGTTTCAATTATCAATTTAAGGCAGGTCGTAAGGGATAATAAGTCTTTTATTGCGTCAATAAGGAAGTGGGTGCATATGTATATAGGCCAAACTATTGTCGAAGATATGTGACATTGCGCCTTTAATCCAGCAATACTGGCTGTGTTTGTTCTGATCTCATAGTGCTGAAAGGTAAACGCTACCTGTATTACGTTGTCGGTATGGACTTTATAAATGACCAAAAGGCCTTTGGGTGTGCAGTGGATAATGTGTTGTCAGGGATACCAAACTTTCTGGCTAACATGATTTGACTTCAGTTATCTAAAGTTGCAGAAGCCACATAAGTTTACATTTATTTTATGATGTCTTTGCAAATCGAAAAACGTCGATATGTTTCCTAAAACGTCTTTATTCAGACACTAAATTCTTCAAAGAATTGTCAATGTTTATCGAGTTTGTGGAATTTTCATCCGTCAAAAGGAATGGGTGTTTGGGTTGGGTTTCGCTTGGCCTGGGGACATGGGAGTCGGGAGGGTGTGTGGATGGCTGGATAGTGCCTGGTTCGGTGGGGATGATGCGTTCGAGTGGTCTATGGCGTCGGGAGGGGTAGGGATTGTGAGCCTGTTTGACTGTTAGCAGATATTTTGACTTAGTTAGATTTCTTGAGCGTACCGGGTGGTGGGGTAGCCTAGTGGTAAAAGCGTTCGCTCGTCACGCCGAAGACCTGGGTTCGATTCCCAACATGGGTACAATGTGTGAAGCCCATTTCTAGTGTTCCCAGCTGGATATTGCTGAAATATTACTAAAAGTGGCGAAAAACCCCCAACTCACTCACACATGAGCGTACCATGATTTATGAATCTGATTTTAACTGCTGGTTTGTCAGCACCATGCTCATGAGTTTCTCAGTAAAGACGATATTTATTCCGTCTGTCCATGTAATCAACAACTTGTATACCAATTGTATGATCTTAAAAAAAAAATTCCAATGGTGTCTTTGATAAACGACATTATATAGAAAAATACAGATACTTAGGTGTACTTACTTCTCTGCAGTGTATTTGCTGATATAATTTGATTCATTTCCGTCCAATTATTGTTATCATCCTATCCACCGAGTGTTCTGTTCTGAGCGGAAATGAGACTCCGGCAATCAGCGCCGATGCAGGAATCATAATTAGATATATGGGCAAACCCGAGCCATGGCTAATGGCAGATTCTCCATACGGCAATAAAGCCATTTATTTGGGTATATCATGAATTTGACACGAAGAGCCCTCGATTTGACATGAAGATTTGGATAATGAAGGTAGTATTGTATGATTAAGCCGTCGGGAACACTGGTCGTGTTAATTTGTCTTGTGTGCTGCATATCATATTGCCCGGATGACACCACAATGGCTCCAGGCCTGTATCAGGAACACAGACCACGATACATTTAGTCTCACCATGAAATATCTATCTCTAAAATGTTCTTTCTAGGCACTAGTTTTAAAAAGAATTGGGTAGGAAGGTCGAAATGTTTCGACCAAATTCAACCACTTGATTTTCCAACCATTTGAACCTAAAGTCCCATGGCCGTGTTATACCCAAATACATTGAAAGATGCACTTTTCTCGTCCTGGCGTTAAGGGGTGAGTGAGTTTAGTTTTACGCCGCTTTTAGCAATATTCCAGCAATATCAGGACAGGGGACACCAGAAATGGGCTTCACACATTGTACCCGTGTGGGGAATCGAACCCGGGTCTTCGGCGTGACGAGTGATCGCTTTAACCACTAGGCTACCCCACCGCCCCGGGGTAAGGGGGTGAGCAGGGCTAACTAAACCCCGTTTCTCCTCCACTAGGTAAACAATGACAAGTGGACACTTTAGCGTCAAAACACAAACGGCACTGTGGATTGTCAAAGCTTGTTGAAAAATTGTTTTAGCAACTTTAAAATTGAAAATTGCTCTAAATCCGGAAAATTGTAATATACGAAACATCCAAACGTTTAGTGCTATTGGTTAGTTGTTATGAGAAACGAACGTGTTTAATCCACACATTTCGAATATTTCGTCAGAAGTTACCAACATGCACTGTTCTCATCACAACAAAGGGATGTTAACCCAAGACTTTGGCATCAACTCATAACAGTCATGGCATTTAATGCAAAATATACATTATAACACAAAATGGTGTTATGCACTAGTCAGTTGCTTTCATGCTACTTAACACGCATGTTATGATGGTTAAGTTAGTTCCAAAAAAACAGAAGTAACGGGAAGTAATATTTTTGTTTTTGCTAATTATATTTTTAAATGATAATTGCTAATCATATAATTAGGACATATTCGGGCCCACGTCAAAGTTGGCTTTCTTTCCAGGTGGGCCCGGTAATGTTGACTGCGTCCGCTCGTCCTACGTTCCATTCCCGGACATTGCACAGTCAATATGTGCCCATTTCTTTTGCTTGTCTTTGTCCTTTATGCGTTGATCGTTGCTGATGTATCAGAACAGGACCGAACTTTTATTACGCTCAGGCCGGGATAATCGGCATAAGAGGTACAAATATACAGAATACATGGGATGGCGGGATGGTGCACAAGGAAGATTGTACAGTGTTCATGATAGTACTATAAAATATACACAGTTTTTTTTAACACACTAATTCGTTTACAGTTAAACAATTCGTTAAATCTTAAAACATTAGGGTTTTTAACATAAGGGTTTGGTATGTAAGTTTTCCGATGATGTTTGAAGAGAAAATTGTAATGAAATTCATCGCCAACTTCACACGTGTCGCAGAGGTTACACATTCTTTCTTCGGGTGGAATTTTGTGCCACCTACCTACTTCTATAGGTAAACGGTGTCAGGATGTTCTAAACAAGAGAATTTTATGAGCCAAGGAGAAAGAGATGTATGTGAGATATTTTTCAAGGACAAGCTCAGATTTGAATACGCGATACATGGTACCCTTAGAAGAATTCGAAATCTCTGCGCGCCATGTTTGGATTGCTATATCATGTAACCGTAAGGAGATAATAGTTTAATTTCGTTGGGAAAGACAGCTTGTTGGCTTAGCTAGTAGAAGCTATAGCCACTTTCATTAAATACGGCTTCCACAGAGTTTATCCATGTTTTGATTGCTATTGTTTCTACAGGCTTCATTGTCTAACATTTGGTATAAAATTCTTGACAGCTTTTGTTCTTTACCAGATAGAAGTCTAGCCCAGAAACATACCATATGACATTTGATAGAGTTGATTCGGGGTATCATTCCAAGTTCTCCATATAGCATGTATAATGGCGTGCTTCTCTTAACGAGGAGTAATTTGGGTAAAAAGTTAACTTGAACTGATTCTATAACTTTACAGTTTTCAAAACCCCAGATTTCGCAGCCGTATAACAGAATTGGCTTAACCATGGCATCAAAGAGATATAATTGGAATTTGATTGATAGGAGTTAAAGATGCGACCTTTCTGCAGAACGAAATACATTGCTTTAGTAGCAGATTCCCAAAGGACTTTTATAGAGGTTTTAAAAGAATTATTGTTTGTAAAATGGATTCCAAGATACTTATGATCTTTGACATATTCGATGGGTGTACCATTTATTAGTATCTGTGTACTCATATCTCTTGTTGTACCGCCGAAAACTAAGATTGTTGTTTTGCTAGAGTTAATGGCTAATCTCCAATGATTTACAGTAAAGGGTAAATGCGTCCATAGTGTAGTCTTGTCCATAACCTATTGATTTCAGACCACAGTGACAATATTGTATTGTGGCAGTAACGTTAAGGTCTGTGTACGTCATGAAACTGCACATGTGGAAGGTCTGTGCTTCAATAAATATTATAGCATGTGTTTGGGGGATATTTTCAGTATACAGATACAGTTTGAACTAGATGACTACAAAGCACTACTTTCACAGTATTTATTCAAATGCCGACAAACAAGTTGTTCGACCGCGCATCCTTATCTGCGATCTAAGAAACTTACGTGCTGGTAGCAATGTACAGGGAAACACAATCAATAAGAAATATGGACGTAAACTATTTTACCAGACCTGTCGTTATGGTGTTTGAAGAGCAACATTTCACAAAGAGAATATCTCAAACGAAACTTGTCTAGAAAATAGAATTCAGGAAATGCGCATTTAATTTTTCTCTTTAAAAAATATATATGCCACTTTGTCTGGAATCGGCTTCCAGGAAACGTGTCAAACATGGCACTGCTGGTGTATTGATTGGGCCATGCATCTACGAGAGCATTACATGGGAGTGCAGGTATTTACTTTGCTGTCGTTGAAATTAAACATTTTTATTTCCTAACGGCTCCTTTGATAGAGAGAGCCAACACAGTAAACAGCGTGTGTCTCCGAGGTGATGTGAGGTGTATCATGCTCGTGTGCGATATATGCAAATGTCTTTCCTCACAAAATCACCGTTTGAAGCCGGATAGACTATTTTCTGAATCGTTCATTTGTACTGTTCAAGTAAGAATTAACACATACATTTCAATCAGTTGTGACAGTAGTTGTTTTTTAAGTCTGAACTGTCAGGTTGTCATGTTGCAAACAGGAAAAAAACCCGACAATGAAACCTTGGTTTTAAATGCACCTAGGTGTACAAAATAATTTATCTGTTATCTTAAGACAAGATAAGAAAAATCAGTATTGATTAAACCTGTAAGCATGTGGTTATTCAGGGTTGATTAAAACAACAAAACCGTTTTCCATTAGCAAAAGAATCTTCATCGTACGATTCCGACAATTTCATTAGCATGTGTTTATGAATCACAATCAGAGTGTGATGATAGCCTGTGACACCCGTGGCAAGCACACGATAAAGCTTTGTTCAACTGAAAAAACACGGGAACATGTGGTGCAGATCAAAATAGAGAACTGCATCTTACATCATTTGTGGACCCTTGAAGATCCGGGCTAGAATTGATCTTCAGTAACCCATGCTTATCGTAAGAGGCGTCTAACGGGATCGGGTGGTCAGGCTCACTGACATGGTTGACACATGCCATCGTTTCACAATTGCGTAGATCGATGTTCATGCTGTTGATCACTGGATTGTCTCGTCCAGACTCGATTATTTACAGACTGCCGTCATATAGCTGGAATATTTGTGAGTGCGGCGTAAAACTAAACTCACTCCTTCACTCACTACATCATTTATGACACATTCGCGTCCAATTTGGCATTGTCCTGTGCAATGTCTACTTTTTAAAAGCTCCACTAAAGCCATTTAATGTTGTAACCCTGACTGGACCTCACACGTTGTGAAATGTAAACACCAAAGTCTGAAGGTGGTGGGAAGGTGAACAGCCGAAAGGGAAAGATAACTATTGTCATCCCTCTTGTCATTCAATAGTCTTGTGGGTACAGTCTTGTGGGTACTCTCTTGTCATGCTACTCTCTTGTCATGCACAATAGTCTTGTGGGTACTCTCTTGTCATGCTATAGTCTTGTGGGTACTCTCTTGTCATGCTATAGTCTTGTGGGTACTCTCTTGTCATGCTATAGTCTTGTGGGTACTCTCTTGTCATGCTATAGTCTTGTGGGTACTCTCTTGTCATGCTTGTCATGCTATAGTCTTGTGGGTACTCTCTTGTCATGCTATAGTCATGGGTACCTCTAGTCATGCTTGTCTTGTGGGTACTCTCTTGTCATTGTCATGCAATAGTCTTGTGGGTACTCTCTTGTCATGCTATAGTCTTGTGGGTACTCTCTTGTCATGCTATAGTCTTGTGGGTACTCTCTTGTCATGCTATAGTCTTGTGGGTACTCTCTTGTCATGCTATAGTCTTGTGGGTACTCTCTTGTCATGCTATAGTCTTGTGGGTACCCTCTTGTCATGCTATAGTCTTGTGGGTACTCTCTTGTCATGCTATAGTCTTGTGGGTACTCACTTGTCATGCTATAGTCTTGTGGGTACTCACTTGTCATGCTGTGTGGGTACTCTTGTCGATAGACCTTGGGTTACTCAATCATCACTCTCTTGTCATGCATATAGTCTTGTGGGTACTCTCTTGTCATGTCTTGTGGGTATGCTATAGTCTTGTGGGTACTCTCTTGTCATGCTATAGTCTTGTGGGTACTCACTTGTCATGCTATAGTCTTGTGGGTACTCTCTTGTCATGATATAGTCTTGTGGGTACCCACTTGTCATGATATAGTCTTGTGGGTACCCTCTTGTCACCCTGAACCTAATATGCATTTAACCAGGGTTAGAATTAGTTTCTGAACCGACCTGTCCTGTACCCATTAATGCCGAGCGCCAGGCAGGGGCCAACAAGTACCATATTTTAACGTGTTTTGGTATGACGCGGTCGGGGATCGAAACCGCGACCTTCCGTTCTCCGGGCGGACGTCTAACCACTACACCACGGAGGCGGTCTTGTGACTGAACAAAGGGAATAACTAGTTGATCTTTGCTTTCAGTGCTCCTGCCGGTTTGTCGCTGTACGAGAACCTCCACTGTAAGAAGGAGAAGCTGAACATCCACAGCAAGCTCCAGATACTGAGGCAGATCGCAGTGGGCATGGGCTACCTCCACGCCAAGGGCATTGTTCTACGAAAGCTTAACACTAAGAACGTCTTCCTTGCCCCTAAGGTGAAGATCAGCGCCATGGATTACGGCTTTGCCGAGGCCAAATATGACAGGTGAATAGGTATACAGTATATTATGCATATCTGGAAAATATCTCCAGACTTCAGCAACACGTGAAAGTACTAGTGTTCCTTTATTCATTCCCAGAATTTCACTCACAGTGCAATACACACCTTGTGAAGACACCTGGACAAGAATAAAGGAACACTTGTACTTTTTCATGTGTTCCCTTATTCGTTTCCATGAGTATATCTGCCACACAGTACTGCAGCATAATCACACGACACCTTAATGCTGTAGCCTAGGTTGTCCCCGGATATACAATACTGCGGTGATCTGTGTGTCCCAGTCTCCAGTTTATTTCCAGTTAAAGACCATAGGGCCAAAATAAAAAGAAAACAGTGTCTTCAGGAGCACAATGATCTTTCAAGAGTGTTTGTAATGATCCTTTTAACATTAAACAGATATGAAACAGCAGATATTACAGTATCTAAGTTAGTATTACGGAGAAGATTACCTGAAGAATATAAACTGTAAGGCAATTGAGTAATTTACCTCTCTCTTGGTTGTGAATAGGATTCACAAATGAACAATACATGGAATTCGTCTTCCATGTAGTTAGACCTTTAGATTTACATGATGTACAGATTTTTTTTATTATAGTCAGTGTTGATATAACACCCTGTTTCTACAGCTATCTTAAAACTACTACACCTAAATTGTGCTAAAGCAGCTCGTAAATGGGTAGAAAGGTTAAACGATAAATAAAATTCGACATTTCATACTGACTTAAACTAGTGAAAATAGTTGCATTTGGAGCAATTACTCAAGGAAGAGTAATAAGACTGTTTCAAATTATCTGACATTAAATACAATACTATATTGTGGTGATCTATTTGCCCCCGGACACATTATGCTCTATTGTGGTGATGTATTTGCCCCCGGATATATTGTACTATATTGCGGTGATCTATTAGCCTCCGGGGGGCGGTGGGGTAGCCTAATGGTTAAAGCGTTGGCTCGTCACGCCGAAGACCCGGGTTCGAATCCCCACATGGGTACAATGTGTGAAGCCCATTTCTTGTGTTCCCCGCCGTGATGTTGCTGGAATATTGCTAAAAGCGGCGTAAAACCAAACTCAGTCAGTCAGTCAGTATTAGCATCCGGACACATTATGCTATATTGCGGGGATCTATTTTCCCCCGGACACATTATACTATATTGTGGTGATCTATTTGCCCCCGGACACATTATGCTATATTGTGGTGATGTATTTGCCCCCGGATATATTGTACTATATTGCGGTGATCTATTAGCCTCCGGACACATTATGCTATATTGCGGTGATCTATTTGCCCCCACACACATTATACTATATTGCGGGGATCTATTTGCCCCCGGACACATTATACTATATTGCGGTGATCTATTTGCCCCGGACACATTATACTATATTGCGGTGATCTATTTGCCCCCGGACACATTATACTATATTGCGGTGATCTATTTGACTCCGGACATATTATACTATATTGCGGTGATTTATTTGCCCCCGGATACATTGTACTATATTGCGGTGATCTATTTGTCCCGGATACAATACTATATTACGGTGATGTGTCATGGAGCTTAACAGTTGGACACATCACCATTCCATTGTCCTGCTCGTGGTTGGACACAACACTGTAGGTCACAACAATGTTGTGTTGTTTCCTGCGTGGTCTGGGACATTGTGTTTCATTATGCTGATCCAGTAGTTTCGTAGAAATACGGTAACGTGATAACATTTCTATTCTTGGACATTGTACTTTAACACTGATGGGTCGGTAAAACTGATCAAAGCAGATCATTGGTACGTGCAATTATTGCTCTGATAGTGAATTTCTCATAGAAGACAATGAAAGCAACGACATGTAAAATAACCATCGTAATTGGCTTGGATACCCTGGCAGAGCGTGCAATCTTACATCGTATTCAAGGGACGCATGGACCAACTGGAAACCTTTAAACGATTCCTGGTATTTTCAAAAAAATCTGAATAGTTTGAATACCACTTCAGTGCATACGTCTGTACAATGTTCCTGGCGAATGTTGACTTCAGTCCACCAGCGTGGCTGTATTGTCTCGTTACTTATATAGGGAGGTGGGGTAGCCTAGTGGTTAAAGTGTTCGCTCGTCACGCCGAAGACCCGTGTTCAATTCCCCACATGGGTACAATGTGAGACCCCTTTCTGGTGTCCCCCGCCGTGATATTGCTGGAATATTGCTAAAATCGGCGTAAAACCATACTCTCTCACTCACTATTGTGATTTATCTCCCGTCAAGTGTGATGTTTCAAGGTTTATCAGGACCATTTCCGTGCTTGCGATTCCACCAAAGTCGTCAACATGTTAATAGAACTACACCATTCTCGGGCTTTCCTCCCTCACGCCGTGAAATAACTTGAATTCTGTTCAAAGCGGCCTTAAACCCAAGTTATTCGAGAGATATTGGATAATCATTTCCAATAATTACATATTTTATTTTTGTTTACAGAGTCAATCACTCGTCAATACCTCGAGGTCACATGACCTACGTGGCTCCCGAAATCCTTTGCACGATGGTTACACTTCCTCCTCGTTTCGTCACATCCTCTCCGTACACAAATGAGGCGGACGTATATGCTTTTGGGTAAGTCCCGGTGCCAAATAATGAAAGAATATAATCGATTTGACAAAATGATCATTTCTGCTAAGTTATTGGTGAAATGGAAGTATGGTAGGCGTTTGATATTTAGTGTTTGCAACAGGCCCATGGGGCTACTTTCCTTACACGAGGAATCAACGCGACGGTAACACGATAGCATGTCTCCATTACAATAGCTGACAAATTTAATGTACACTGAAACAGTTTTCCCATACTAACCAACATGGTTCGTGATTAAAGCAATATGAACAATACTAGCTTTAGTTCATTCCCTGTTATACATGCACACCATGCTTTTCACTACTTAGCGATCACGCCCTTCACAAACTTAACATACGCTATCTCCGCAGTAAGAGCCCATACATGCCACGTGCGGTTACCTCCCTTCAAAGTTTAGGTACACTGATGGAACCCCATGGATTAAGGCTCAGCTTCCCTTTAATTGTTTTAACAAATTTCCAAGACATTTTACGAAGTAAGATTCGCTATCAATATAACCGAACAACTGACAACATAGTGATAACGTGTGAAACACATGTGGTAAAACTGCATTGACACTGTAAACAGGGCCGGTGGGGTGGCCTAATGGCCTAGACGTTCGCTCGTCACGCCGAACACTCGGGTTCGATTCCCCACATGGGTACAAAGTGTGAAGCCCATTTGTGGTGTCCCCAGCCGTGATATTGCAGGAATATTGCTAAAAGCAGCGAAAAACCAAACAATATTTGAAATGCATGAATTTCTTAAACAACCCCTCACACACACATATGTGCCCACACACCTTTTACAGGGGTATTCCAAATGGCTGCATTGGTCCTCGTCAGGTGGACATTATGCAACACATTCAATTATTTGACGTTTTGTAATCATCAGTTAAACACGTCGTATTTTTCTATGACATTTGCTGAACATGGCGCTGACGACTTCAGTGCGCAGTTTGTAGTCCCGAACATCAGCGTCTCCTTCACATGTTCACGTGTTAAACATTTGTCTCTGTGTTATGCGATTCCGTAGAGACTTGTCAGTGTTTGTGCAGTTTTTCTGTTTGAGAGCGATATTGATTACGCCTCCCTTGTTGTCGTGCGATAAGGTTACGCAATCCGTAAAAACAGACCTTTAAGAATCAATAGTAATATAAGATGAATAAACAGATAAATATTTGTTATGTCGTGAACAACATTACACTGAAAAATATGTCAAAAGCATGCTGTTATTGTCGTTTTCAAAGGAACACTTTCGTCAATCGAAATCTCCGATCTGTAAAACGTCATATAACTGGAATAGCGCGGCATTGAACAAGAAACACTTAACGTATCTTGAAAGCTGTATCGAGACACACACGGACGTTCATTCGTCCGGCTTCCCTCACAAAATTAATTTATTACCAAAACTCTAATTTAACTCTTTTTGTTTTCGCTGGTGTTTCTGTGAAGTATAAATCTTTGGAAAAATCTTTGAAAAAATACGCCCTTGCCAGAACAACAAGGTCAGATGAACCCGTTAGAGTGACCTGAGTTGTGTACTTATGGTAGCTCTATGATTCTGTAATTGGACTAATGAAAGATGTTTCCGGCATGTGACCCTCTTCCTTCACTCCGTCTCAAACCTGTACTATACTGATTAGACTAGATTAGAGTCCATGCGTACTTCTGGAAGCTCAAAGATATGGTTCTGTACTTGAACTAGCAGATGTGACCCTCTTCCTGTACAAAACACTTGGGTATACATCGATGCCATCGCTGAAAACTGCTTGTCTCCTTCGGTGTCTCGTTCTTCTTGGCTTTATACAGGCTAGCGTCCACGGCTGCTGTGGGAAGATGACTTCAGTTTTGAAAATACCGTATACCGTTGTTTAATGAATTACGCCTTTAATATGTACTTCAACTGCTGGAAATATTTAAAATACATTTCGTGTACCAAATATGGAACATTCGCCGATTTAGACGAAGCTGACCTTTTCATGTCGAAACATGCATTGTTACACTGTTACATGTACGCGATCGGGTTAACTGGATCGGTGGGTAGCCTAGTGGTTAAAGCGTTCGCTAGTCACGAACACCCGGGTTCGATTTCCCACATAGGTACTATGTGCGAAGCCCGTTTCTGGTGTCCCCCGCCGTGATATTGCTGAAATATTGCTGAAAGCGGCGTAATACCATACTCACTCACTCATTCTCATACATGAAATGAGTCGAAAATAAATGTGGTGCCTGTCACAAGGGGGTCTATGGTGAATGTTTCAAAGATTGTAGAGGTCAATCCAGTCTCAGAGTCATTGACAAAACCAATTACAACAACGACCCTATACCAGCGACCAAGGGTGAGCAGTCAGAAGTCGACGGTGCAGAAGTATCTGACATCTTGTAATGTAAACTTCACACCATCGAAAACGAAAGTAAAAGCCGTCTGAATAATGAACGTAGACAACATAGGGACTATATCCAGTACAAGGACCAGTACTTCAAGTAAAGATGCCTTGGCTCCACAACGTGATCACGTAAACTGTTTAATTCAGTCCTATGAACCTGATCTGGACAAACTGTGACAGATTAGTAGCAGGAAGTGGCACACGTTATTTTCAGATGTTAAAGAGTTGATACACGTATCCTTGCTGAGAAGTATGAGCGGTATGACATTCTGGAACTGGGACGTCACTTCCGTCAGCGCGATGGCGCAGATACCAGTCTTGTTGTTCCGGTTATAATTCGTCTGTAATCAGATGCATCATCAGCTGTGTCTAATGCTCACTGAATGGCTCGTTTGTAGTCCTGTCAGTGACTTCCGTCAAACGAATGGATACCCTTATCAGGGGCGGATACAGCTTTTTCACCCGTTTTCACGTTTTCAGTGCCAGTATAAATGCAGCCTCCGTATTCAGTTCAGTAGTGCATTTATTAAACGTTATTATGACAGGTGAGGTCAGCAGTGACATTTCTGTGTACAAGACTTAGTGTTGTATTAATGGATTTTTAGGTCATCTTAACCGTGAGCTAGTTTCCGTGGACCTCAAGTGTATCCTGTCAGTATGTACCCTGTCAGTATGTATATTTCAGTATGTACCCTGTCAGTATGTACCCTTCAGTATGTACCCTGTCAGTATGTACCCTTCAGTATGTACCCTGTCAGTATGTACCCTTCAGTATGTACCCTTCAGTATGTATATTCTTGTCTCATAACTTTTCCCGTCCGTACGTACGTCCCAATTCTTGTTAACGCGATATCTCATGAACTGTTGTACCCAATGTCTTCAACTTTGGTGGCAGCCTACATTGAGGGATTACGCAGACACCAGTCACATTATGGTGACCTCGACCTTATTTTCAAGGTCAACACGCTACTTTGACCACCTTTTAAACTCTTGTTAACGCAATATGTCATAAAACGTTGCACCAAGTGTCTTCAATTGTGTTGACAGCCTACATTGGGTGATTATACAGACACCAGTCGTTTCAGGCATCTTTTACCTGGCAAAAATATAAAAAGTAGTAAATATGTTATTAATATTTCGTTCTTCTTTAGCTGCGGGGGACAAAAGAACCTGATTTGGGGTTTGAATTCCTGTTCGCTCCTATGTTTAGGCTGTCACAACCATTCATGCTTTGGGTTTCACCAAATTGGTAAAGATCAGAGACCTGGGCCTCGTTTCAGAAAGCTACTGCCGTAAGTCTATGTTGCAGTACTGGAGGTACGACAGTCGTAGCGTTACGATAGCTCTGTGAAGCGGGACCCTGCATCACTATGGGTTTTCCTGTCACATTACACTGACACCGTCATATAATTACAATACATTAAAAAGCAGCTTCAAACCTCACTCCCTCACTCACTTGGTTAGGTCTGCAGGTTGGGTGTATGTATTGTGTACATATGACATGCATGATTCAAGCATTTGTTTGACGGAACCTCAGATATGTGTGTCTTTTATGGGGTATTTCAAGCATGATTGCATAATTTCAGGGTACAAGCAAGACTGTGGGATTTGTTTGAAACTTAAGAGACTGCTTTATCGTACATCGACATGTTCTGTTCCTCGCCTTGTCGGGGTTGTGGTAGTTATGTATGTGCAGGTTGGGGTCACTGTAAGTGGACGAGGAATAACGTACAACAACAATTAGTCACAGTTGAATCGCTCAAATGCAAAATTACTAGTGCATTTTCAGATTATTTTTCCAACAATGCATTGCTTTACAACAAAATCATGGTAGAAAAAATAAACGCTAATTAACGCAAATGTAGCAATCAATGAAACATTTGCTAATTCCAGAACCGTGATGTATGAGGTCTTGAGTGGGCGCTTTCCCTACAATGACGTGCCGGTTGAGAGCCTCATTTGGCAGGTGTGCAAGGGTCGACGGCAGGGGCTGACCAACCTCACCTGTTCTTCCGCCTTGAAGGTTTGTGGTTCACATTTCCAGTCATGAATAATATCGGATGGCTTGATAACACCGTGTTTATTGTTGTTTCCTGTTGAAAAGTCATCTAAGCAGTTATGTGAGGTGAGGTGAAATTGGGTTTTAACGTCGTGCTTGAGAATATTTCGCTCATATGATGACGTGCATGCGTGTGTATGTGTATGTGTGGCTGCTTGTACTAGCCCAGACTGAAGCTGGTTTTATAGTGCTAGCCCACTGAGATACCATGCCGCAGTGAAGCATGAATACCCCACTCAAGACACATTATACTGACTCCGAGCCGACCAGTCCTCGTTGTACCCATTAATGCCGAGCGCCAGGCAGGGACCAACAAGTACCATATTTTAACGTCTTTTGGTATGACGCGGTCGGGGATCGAACCCGCGACCTTCCGCTCTCCGGGCGGACGCTCTAACCACAACACTACGGAGGCGGTCAGCAGTTATGTAGCTTAATGAGGGCGGTCTGTAAATAATCTGGTTATACAGTGAAAGGTGGTTGTAAATTGCCTCTTGGAATGTCTCGGATGACAAGGCACCAGTGAGTTGTCCCTTAAATCCCTGTGCAGCTCCAGGCGTCACATGTTATTATATTTATGTGCAGTATTGAAATACATGTACATGATACTTTCAGGATAATCAATTTGAGTTTCCACTTCGTAACAAGTTTTAGTAGGTGTTCAGATCTCTAGGGCTCTGTCTCATATTTTACAAACTAACGATTTTGTTTGGATAAACACTCTGCTGCAGGATTTGATAGAGGACTGTTGGGCCCACGAACCTTGCTATCGGCCGGACTTTCCCGAGCTCAGTAAAGAACTACTCAAGAATGTAAGTTGGAGGAGCAAAAACAACACATATAACCACAAAATGAGAGGGAACATATATTTGTATGATTCTTTGCGGGGTTTTGTTTTACCGTCCTAGCTAATAAGGTTTGACAGCTGAATACAGTATGCCTTGTTAACTTATGTACATTGAGGCGACTCGGGTGACCTGCGAACTATTCGGGGTTTACCTCCCACTTTATACCAAAGAGATTACGGACGCACGCACCCACGCACGGCGGTGTTAAACCCGATTCCTTTGGTGGAACCCACCTGGATTGGTAGAATGCTAACAAACCTAACACCCCAGAAAGGTCGCTTCCCTTGTCTTTTCTGGTTCTGTAACGACGGTGTCGTTGGGCCATTCCTTCAAACATTTAACATTTTGCAGATCGCGTGGTCGTTCTTATGTTGGTTTGTGGGCTAAAGCGCGTAGTTGCACTGGGACACACTGTGCTATTACCATTGACCGTTTCTTGTTATTATTTGAGTTGTAGACATTCGCAACCTGCTTTACCTTTCCTCCCGCCACAATATGAGAAATAACCGATAAATTGTTGCAAGTCGCGATAAACCAAATTTACTCAGCGACTCATCGTTGCTTGACCAAGAGGAAAATATGAAGCGCGGCTGATTTCGTTATACATTTTCAGTCGTGAGCAATGGTAATAGAAAGGTTATTCTATTTCAGTCCCCTATGTACAAGCGCCACAGCTCCTCAGAGCCAGAACGACTACACCGGACGGGCAGCTTCATGGAGAGAATATCACCTTTCTGATACGTCCACATAACAGTGTTTGCCTGCTAAACTGACGCGGAGGTGCTTGAAACCAGTCGAAACAGAAGAAACAGCATTGTCATTTAGTATGCACTTGCAATAGAACCGTATACAACCGACAAGGCCACTGTTGTAGCCTCTTGTTGTCGTCGTAATATACCATTGAAGTTATTCGTCTTAGGTTAATTAAAAGACCAGTGCAGTTATCCAGACTGTAGCCATTTCGCCTTGTCCAGCAGTCACAATTAAAGGTGCCACTGTGCCATTGGTGCCATCATTTGTGTATTAATAATGTCATTGCTAAATGCCACCTGCAACCGGACACACATCCTTTGACCCAACTCTTAAGGATGTGCCGTGTCTGAAACCAAAGACAAGATATTTGTGCTACAGGTTCATTAATGCAAACAGACAGTACAGTACGTCTTACAGACAAGTCAAGTGTTTCAAGCGTAAGGCGAAAGACGTTTGGATATGGCATGTCAAGGATCTTGTCACGTGTCAGTTACTGTAGACAAGTTAATGGTCACCAGGAAAAATATCAATTTCCAAACATTTTACAACTAGCGAACTCTCAATAGTCGCTATCTGTGACTACAGTCTGAAATACACATTGGATATATTAACGAGGTTTAGGATCACGTTCTTTTTCGCTGTCATGACAAATACAAAAGATAAATACATTTGAGAGTGTATAAAGGTAGTGCCTTCTGCGACATGGTCGGGTGTGTCTTCATGTGACTATGGATATTCTGTTACTAATTTCACCTTGCTATTTTGGCAATGAGATTCCCTCACACATATATTGTATATATGGTATAGAAACCAGAACATGTGTTCTTGAAGAGAACTTTTGGAGAGCCGTCATGACATTTTGAAAGTGGTTTTTGTTGATGGACATTTAATTGTTCGTAAGTTGGACAGTTGGTACGTAAAGTGAATGATAGAGTGGCAGGTGAGTTGTAGGTAACAGTGTCCGTTATGGTCCCACTATTGCTGAAAGCGTGAAAGCTGCCACGTGCCCGGATAACCGGGCAAATTTTTAGAACCTCTTGTGAGATGCCTCGGGAGTTCCTGGGGTCACTTTTGCCATTCCAGTTCCTCTACATTGGTTACTGACGAGTTCAGCTTCTCTCCCCGTGGGCACTGAAGGGCTGATGACGTCTTCTGGAGGAACTATGTTACCTGTCGAGAACGGTGTCGTCTCCCGTTGTTGTCCCGTTGTGGCACAGCAGGTCCATTAACGCATGTACCTGCCACCCGTCCCTCCACTGCTGAGTGACCATGTCAAGCTCGAGGTCAGGGGATTGGCAACCCAACACCATGACTGATCTGCTACCAAGGGAGGCCTGTGAAGTTTTGTAACACCAGAATATACGCCATAGGAAAACCATGACGTCAAACATCACGTTATGTCCATTTCTCAATGCATGTGGTGGCAGTTGTTTGAGTGGCGTCCCTTTATTTGGAGAGCAGCTTGTGGGAAGTGTTTGTCGCATCACGAAGCGAGCAGGTCACTGCTGCACGCACCTTCACCTCATACGTGTGCCGATGTTTCTTCTGCCAATATGTTGATGGTTGAATGACGGCAACCTAGCGGTGACGTAGTATCCAACGTGAATAAACCCAGTATTCGCTAATGTTCGCCCCTGATTATCCGCTACAAGCCATGTTGAATGAAGACTAAAGTCCAGGATAATATTCAACTGCGCTTCTTTTCAGCTTTCGAGACTGGCTTGTTACATGTACTTGCTTTGCGCGCCATTATCGCCGGAAGACATTCCCAACGAAGGCATGGATAACCGTTCGTGTCGTGTGTCATTAACAAATGGATTTTACACAATTACAGTTTCGGTCGCGCGACCATGAGTAGGGGCACTTAATGTTTTCCCAGGTGCATAATAAAGCCTTTATAACTTAGGTCAAACGCGGAAAATTGTTTATTCCGAAAGAGTGGTGCATTGATCACACGTGAATACAATTCGACGACAGCTGCATATTTTAACCTATGTCATTCACGTTGACAAGACAATTGAGTTATTGGTGGTGTGGTACAGTAAGTTTACTTTATACCCAGTCACCTGTAATTCCACAAGTAGAAACGTTTTGTATGCTTCGATAACAGGGATGGAAATAGATGTTTGAGTTATTTGTAGATACCTTTCTGTGACGCATTTCAGGCAGAATATAACCTACTTGTCGGGTACTCTTTGGTTGTTTGCGTGAGATATATTTCAGTTGTGCTCGTGACGTATTCACAGCGTAGAGGTATGAATGGGATTCTTTAGTTGAACTAAACACAGATGTTGTTTTAAGTGGAGGTCTTTGAGATTCATAAATGTGTGGACACAGTTATTAACATAAGGCTATATCGTTATGCATCAGTATGCTCTGTCCTGATCTAATGGCGCATGCTTGGTAATTGTAGAACATACTGTATTATGACTTTCATAACAGATTATTTATTCAATGTCATACATCGCCTTGTGCTCGTTATTCCGTTCAGTGTGCTTTGATAAACATAAATATAAAATATTAATTTCAAACGTCCGTATCACGGTGTCCAATGGCCGTATTTCTCCTGTGTATCACGTCTCTGCCAAAACTAAAGATTAATTCCCACGTGAAATAATAGCATGTTTTCTTATCTCAAGCTTGCCCGCTACTGTGGATGTTTTTTGCCCTGTTGCTATAAAACATACCCTTACCACTGTTACTCATAAGACCCTGTCAGCTTCTCTACCTTTATCTGCGGTTATGTTCATCTTCCTATAGTTTCCGAGCAAAGCGACTTTATCAACATCACGAATTAAGTAAAAAGACCATTACCAAGTAATCTTGGCCATTTTGAAAACCGGACTTACTTTCAATATGGCCTCCACAGTAGCCATGTTGAATACCAAGTAATTACAACCTGCTGTATTTGAATGGAGTCTGGTATTATGTCATGGTGGCGATTTGATATGACAAACAAAAGTGAAATGCCTAGTTTGTGTTTGAGTCCCATGAATCTCATGTCAAGTTGTTGCAATGGGCTGTCAGGTTACAAAACACACAAAGGTTATGTTATACGTATGTAGCTGAACATGGTATAATGATACTTTCAAAGAAACTGTGTGGGATTACCACCGCACAACCATTCGTATATACATAATTACATGTATCTTAGTCAGATATGCCCCCAGGAGTGTTATTTGAACGATCCAGCGTGTAAACCAGATGACTAGTTGAGTGATTGTATCTTCAGCAGAACGTACACCACGGGAACATTCTAACGTTTGAGGCTGCCGCTCGGGGACGCTTGTCGCACCCCAGCACACAGGGAAAACTCACAGATACACTTTACCTCCGTCGTGGGTGGTACGTCTTGTATCACCAACCCGTGAGGATCCGGGTTAGAATTGATCTTCAATATCCCGTGCTTATCGTAAGAAGCGACAAACAGGTTCGGGTGGTCAGGCTCGCTGACGTGGTTGACACATGTCATCGTATGCGTAGATCGATGATCATACTGTTGATCACTGGATTGTCTGGTCCAGACCCGATTATTTACACACCACCCCCATATAGCTGGAATATTACAGGGTGTGGCGTAAAACTAAACTCACTCACTTATATCCCACCCATAGACCTGATGGGGTTCCAGTACTCCAAAATACTTGGGGAGGTTTGTGTGTTATTTTAAGATGTACTTTCAAAATAAGAAAGTAAGACACTTTATGGATAACAACTTGTTTATTATATATGATGCGACGTTTCGGTATAGATTCATGTATAATAATGGTATCATTATAATAAAGAAGTTGTTATCCTAAAGTATCTTACTTTCTTCTTACTCACCATCTTCTAAAAATACCCAGATCATACTTTCAAAATGCTTAATGCTATTGTCATGTGATGATATTTATTAAATGCTGGAAATTTCTGGCAATTACAATAAACTCTTGTTTTGTGTTATGTCATCAACAAGGAAGCTGTGATTATGACACGCCATTGTGTTGGTGTCATCTGAAAACATGCATTCATGAGTGCTGGGACCGTAGTCGTTCCACGTGGACCTTAGTCGAGGTCACGTCGTGGGGTCAACCGATACCCGTTTTAGTCTGCTCTTACCACAAGCACTGGAAGTGGCACTTGGGAGAGTTATGTCCCAACCCAATGGAAGCAGAGGCTAGAACGTCCATAGCACTGAAATTACTCGGAATGACTATGTCCTGTTGCTTTTCGTCCTTACTTGGTTTTCGTTCAGCACTTCTCTGAGTTTCCATACGAACACGTGAACCTCTACTGCGTGAGGGGTGGTGGTGTAGCCTGGTGGTTAAAGCGTTCGCTCGTCACGCCGAAGACCCGGGTTCGATTCCCAACATGGGTACAATGTGTGACTCCCATTTCTGGTGTTCCTCGCCGTGATATTGCTGGAATATTGCTAAAAGTGGCGTAAAACAAAACTCACTCATTACTGAGTTCAGGAACGGCACTGACCCCACAAGTAGTACTGCTCGGTTTCAGAAAGCACGTAGCTTGCTGGGGCTTTCCCTCGGAGATTGTTTTCGAGTAGAAGCTTTTGCTTGGGAGATTTGAAAGTCACCAGTACCTAATGTAACAGATAACTTAATGGTCGCAACCCGTGAAGATCCGGGTTAGAATTGATCTTCAGTAACCCATACTTGTCGTAAGAGGCGACTAACAGGATCGGGTGGTCAGGCTCGCTGACTTGGTTGACACATGTCATCGTATGCGTAGATCGATGCTCATACTGTTGATCATTGGGTTGTCTGGTCCAGACTCGATTATTTACAGACCGCCGCCATATAGCTGGAATATTGCTGAGAGCAGCGTAAAACTAAACTCACTCACTCACTCACTTAATGGTCACAAGATGCAAAACATTTTCTGAAGTTAGTTGTAGATGACTTCAGCGTGAGTCCAGACATTTAAACGCCAGAGAGGAAGTTGACAGATTGCACATCAATGTTAAAATACTGTTAATGGCATGTGTCTATGAAAAACGACGACGTCAAACTCAAAGTGGAAAGGTGAAATTACACACTGAAATGAACGATTGATAGCCCAGTGACAAAAACCGCAGTAAGACACATGACACCTGGTTGCATTTGACACCTGTTTGCCAGCAACAGTCTGGATGTATGTCACCAGTGGGGAGACCTCCACTTGCTTTAGTTCATCATGTATTCGTTAATTGCTTGTCTCGGAGAGTCCCAAGCGAGAGATGAAATAAGGCTTAACACTGACGAAGTGATTTATCTTTTGATTGACACCGGTTTCACCTCAGCTCTAGTGGAGCCCGGTGAATGTAAACTGACTTTAAGAGACGTCAATTTCTTCTCCGAAGTCGAACGTACTTTGTTGATACTTTTTCTTAGTCCATATCAACCTTTGTCACTTTCAGACAACAAGGTGTGTTAGAACAAGCATATACGGATGACAACTTCTATTTATTCTAGAGCACGACGTTTCGATACAGGTTCTTGCATCGTTTTCAAGGGAGAATGGTACAGGGAGAGAACAGGTGATATATATACAACAAGACTAATTAACAAGGCAAGGCGGAATAACAATGTGATGATAACAAATAAAGGGATAACAGAGGATTACAAGGATAAACATAGAGGCCAGTGGAAGCCAATGATACACAGAGCATAGAATGTGTACACGATTAACAATGTGATGATAGTGAATAAAGGGTAGGAGAGGACTACGGGGATACACATAGAAGCCAGTAGAAGCCAGTGATGTTTCTACAAGAGGCTATGGTTGATTGATGAGCTCATCGTATGCAGTGGGGATAAAGAAGCCTTGATCTCTATTAATCAGTGGTCGGTATCGTTTGATGTTAATTCCTTCAGTTATCTTGCGTTTGGTAAAGTCTGATTGGTTTGTAGCGAGGATGTTGAAGTCAGTCCAGTTGATTTGGTGATTGGGATGAGTTGCTATGTGGCCTGAAATGGCTGATTTCTGGTCCGATTTGATGGTTGAAGTCTGATGTTCCTTGATTCTAGTGTTGACGGGCCTGGATGTTTCTCCTGTGTATGAGAGTCCACAATTGTAGTCAATTTTGTAGATTACGCCTTTGGGGCTGGGTTTCTTGGTTTGTGGGTACGCCTTTTGGGGCTGGGTTTCTTGGTTTGTGGGTGCCACTCAAAGAAGTCAAACAATGTGTGTATTCATTTCTTTCGAGTGTACGAAGAATAAAGGGGAGATGGGGTAGCCTAGTGGTTAAAGCGTGCGCTCGTCACGCCGGAGACCCGGGTTCGATTCCCCACATGGGTACAATGTGTGAAACCAATTTCTGGTGTCCCCCGCCGTGATACTGAGGGAATATTGCTAAAAGCGGCTTAAAACTAAACTCACTCACTCAGTATAAAGTTCGTTATTTTTATTAACTAAATGATAATTCGTCATCTGTAATTTTTGCAAAAACAATCGAGCCCCTTAAGACTTAAAAACATTCTGATCTCACACAGAATCCCGGCCCTAAACTGAAAACCAAATGCTTGCTCTCAGGGATAAACACGAAAGATCATTACGTAAACTCACAAGCGGATAACATTTCGATCGCTTTCCGTACATTCCAAGAAAAGTTCTCCATCACGCAACCTTTAAACAAGCGCAACTCCAGTTACATCCAAACTCATGGAAATCGTGAGTATATTAAAGAATTAACCCAATTATTCCAAGTCTACGGGAGATAGATTTCTCCCTTTTTAGCTTTCCAGACCATAGACTTTGGTTAATTCGGCATTACAAACAGCCCCCATTTTCCGTACTTGTACTGTAGTTGATGGGCTAATGCACATTGTCGTCTTACTCGATAATCTAAATAGCGACGCGCTGGATGCATCTCTTAAATTGGGTAAAATAGGCGAATAAATCACCCTGTGCCGAGAGGCATTGGAACAGATCGAAGTGCGGGATGAGTGGATCGGGGGATCGGGGGTCGGGCGCCGTACAGTTTCTAGGGCCGGGTTTATTGCCTCAGTGCGACATATGGAACCAGTTACAGGTGGTGTGGTATTTCGGGAGACATCGTGACGGTATTTTACCGTTACGCTTCACAAGGTCGATATGACCTTTTATTTCGTTAAACTACGAATTATTTGGGATATCTAAAGCGCAAGAAATGTAAGTCACGCTGAACTAATTCACTTTTATATTGATCTCATCATTAGTATATATTATGTACATGTATTATATATTATAGAGCAGTGGGTAGCCTAGTGGTTAAATTGTTGGCTCGTCACGCCGAAGACCCGGGTTCGATTCCCCACATGGGTACAGTGTGTGAGGCCCATTTCTGGCGTTCCCCGCCGCGATATTGCTGGAATATTGCTAAAAGCGATGTAAAACTGGACTCACTCCCTCACTCAGTATTATATATTATATTGAATATACAATTGAATTGTATAATGGAAAACTTTGTCATGCCTTGAATGTAGGTCTGATTAATATGGTTGAGAGAAGAGAAGGAACATGTGTGATAAAGTTACTCACACACTTAAACCCCACCCATCCACTCATCAAAACACATCGACCAACACAACCACAACCAATACAATTATACCATCCCACTTACCCATTCATTCATGCCCGCAAACTCACTCATTCCGCCACCAGACCCATCCACCCTCCAACCCACTCACTGAAGCTTCCGACGGCGCTGTCTTGCAGGGGAACACAAACAGTTGCTGCTGTGATATGGCGACACATGAATGTATGTCATTAATATGTGTGTAAAGAAAGATTAATAACTAACCGATAATATCATCGGATCGTATTATATGAACGCGCTAGCTGCTTCGTATCACAGTCATTAGCGATCACATGTACACGCTTCAGGCTTGTATTGAGAAATGCAAGGTCCATTATCGTCAGCAATGCTGTCGACGTGGGTGGGTGTATTTGCATTGAGCACAGCGATGTAAAATTCAATGTTGATCTGATGCGATTCTTATCCCGTATAACATGGTTGAGAATTATCTGATACGTTAACATTGTGACCGACGTCGAGTTCGGAAGCGTGCAACATCATGCACGACATGCGCTGCATATTGACATCTTGGCCGACGACGACCAAGTCCACCTCCTATTGTTTTAGCAATTAGCGGAGCATTGATTCGCTCGGAAGCGTATCATCACTATGTTTACTCAGATAATGGACGTGGCTTCGCCGAAATTATCGCATTGGCAATCTCTCATTTGTTTGCCAAGGCGGATAGTGAACGAAGATGGCAAGGGGAGATTACTTTTGATCACATTTGCTGCAGCAGGGAAGATCATGACATAACATTGACATGCCGGAACTCATTAACCCACATCAAGCCAAAAATATATATCTGACCTTCATTCTGCCGAGCAGTATTTCTGTAATCCATGCTCTACCACAGCCGTCAGGTGGCCAGTTGTGAGAGGCTTCGCTATTCGCTGTGTGTAGAGTTTCGTCCCGTGGGCACGCCATAAACCTATGATTGGGTTTAACATCGGCCCAATTTTGTTTCGAGATTTGTCAGATGGGTTTGCTCAAAGCAGGAAACGGCTTTCTTCCGGTGTCCAAAATGCAGGTTTAGGCGTTTATGAGCATTTAATTTTAAACATTTAATTGGTTTTGCTCACACTATCCCTGCTATGTGTTGTAATGAATGAAGCTGAATACTTGCATTGCCCGGCCAAGTCGCCAAAAGGCATCACAATTCGTTCAGTGGAGCTGCATACAATGGGCAACCCATAAACCTGTGATCGCGGGTTCGAATCCCATTTCGTTTATGCGGAAACCTACAATTGTTGGCTTGAATCCCAGATTCACTTTGATGATGCTCCTAGCTTTGTCTTCACCATATTCGTTCTCATTTTTGTTTCATCAAACTTGACAACGTTTGAGACTTGCCTCTATTCGGATTTTACTTGTTGATTTACTGCTTG